TTAACTTGTCTCTTTGAGGTACCCAAACAGAGTACACTCAGCAGATCTAGATCTTACCAGCAACAAGTTGAGTGCAAGGATTACCTCTGGGGCCTCAAACGTGATAATATACAGCTTGTTTTTACACCAGCATGAAGTTGTTAACTCTGGCTTATCATACTTGGCTTATCATTTTGCAATGAAACGTTGGAAAGATGTTTTGACAGGAGCTCAACAATGCTCCGTTGCCCCTGCGTGGTGGCTTCTAGGGTCTTCTTAGGTCGCAGTGTTTTCTGGCTGTTCATGGAGATGAGCTCCTGAATTAGGTAGACCAGGCACACAGATAAGTAACTCCCCAGCTTCTCTTCCCAAAGAAAGATCATATGATGTTTAGAGCTGGCTGTTTTCTCTATGAACATCTTTCTATGTTCATAGAGATGAGCTCCTGAATTGGGTAGACCAGGTAACTCCCCAGCTTCTCTTCGCAAAGAAAGATCATATGATGTTTAGAGCTGGTTTCATCACGAAATGTCCTTACCTGCAAAAGGCTTAACGAGATGCTAATGAAGAACAAGCGTAGAGAGAGCAGAGACCTGAACCATGAGTTGTGAAGAACCTACCCTATCTGTGGATCATGGCATCGTCACTGCCTACCCTTTCCCTTTGGTAGGGTCCTCTCTTTTCAGGTGTGAACCGTTCCTGGGAATGGAAATTTTGTCTGTGCAGCTCACGGGCTTGTCTATCTTGAAGACATTCTGTTATTGGACAAAAATCTCAACATAATATATAAATGTGACATTTTTGTTTACCAGCATGTCAGCTGGTACCATTTAAGAACCTCACTGCAGTGTCTATGACTTGTTGACACAGTGTCAATATTTCCAGTAGAAAGAAATGGTTGCATTTAAAATTGGTTAGTTAATATCAAAATAATATCAAAGAGAGGATGTTATATCTAGTGTAGAGAAAGGAGGTCACTTTAAAGGACAGATTTTTCTTTTACCCCAAAGTTTAAATAAATTTCTTTGAAGAGAAAATTCCTTTTATTTGGAGCTGCAAGTTGATTTATTAAAAAAAAAAATAAAATAATCCAGCCATTCTGTAGCTCTTCCTTCCATCTGCTTTGAGCTTATACCCATTGATTATTTTACCTGATATATTATCAGGCACTGAAAAAAGCAGAACAGGTTCCTTGGAACAGATTGTGTCAGTAAATGTCTTGCTATAGCAGCGCAGTGCTTATAAGTACCTCTCTGTGCTAGTTTTTCCATGAATGCTTAACCTCTAGTTTTGGATTTATCTATCAACAGGAGACCATCAGCCTGTAAAAATCCTGTATCTTTTTTACAGCTTCAAGAATAGACAAACTAGTCTTCGGAGCTGTTTGTACTGGGTTTTCTTGTCTTATGTATAAGAGAGGAGAGATTTGCAAAAAGGAAATCTATCTGGTGAGAGCAGGTGACGTATAGCTGAGGGGAAAAAAATAGGAGAAGCGTTCCAGCTGGGAGTCCCTCCATTAGCTCTGGCAAGGAGCAGCCAAAGTGCCTGCCAACACCCAAGTACTATTTCATCTATATGTGCACAAAAGTAGATCTGTTGGCATTCATACCCGTTGCTTTAAATTTACGTTTCTTCCTGTGCAAGCTCAAAGTAGCCGTGTTGGCATGGGATACCCTGTGCTCACCACAGCCTGCCTCCAGACCTGAACTGGCTGAAATCATCCCCAAGATGAAACACAACATCTTCCTCCCCGAAGAACTGAAATGTGCTGTTCCAGTGGAGCTGTCTGGATTTTTTAAGGTTAAAACAGGAATATTCTAGGCAAACCAAGGAGTAAATAAACACCCGAAGGGAATGTGAATGACTGCCCGTTAGCATAGGGAGAGGAAAGGAACAGAGGGGGAGAGAGAGAGAGAGAGAAACACCTGACTGGGAGCCTGGCTGGTGGTTGAAGTTCCTGCACTTTATTTCTGTTGATGTACGAGTCACGTTAGAAGAGGAAAAGTGATGCCGAGCCGTTTCTTTAGGCGCTACCCAACGTTTGCGGGTGCGACGTCGGATAAACGAGCTCAAAAATCAGAGTTAAGAGTCGTGGAAAGGGAAGAGATTTAAAATCTAATCTCCCGGGAGGATTCCCGCGAGGAGCATAGGCGCAATGGAGCTGTTAAATGTTCAATTTGTCTGTGCCGGGGGCGGGGGGGGGCAGAGACGAGCGGTGCCCGTGGGGGGAGCGGGCAGGAGGGGAACCCCGCTCACCCCTGCACCACCGGACGCGGGGCGAGCCCGGGCCCCCGCGGGCACTTAATTTACTGGGAGCCCCCACGTCGTGCTTGTGGGCACGGAGCGACCCGGACCCGTCACTGCCCCACACGCCGTGCATTGGCACCCCCTGCCCCCCCCACCTCCTCCCGGGGCCGGGGGGGTGGGCGCTCCTCTCCCCCCCGGCACCGCCGGTGAGCTGGGCAGCTCGGAGCGGGTCATAGAAAGCTACCGAGATGTTTTCCAAAAAAATCCCATTGCTTGTCATCTGAAAAAAAAAAACAAAAAACAAAAAACAAAAACAAAAACAAAACAAAACAAAAAAAACCCCAAACCAAACAATCAAAACCAAAAAACCACCACAAAACACACCAAAATTAGAACCCCGAACCAAAAAAAAACCCCCTAATACGCTTTTGCAACCGTCGTTCCGCAAAACGAGCGCGGAGAAGTCGCGCAGCCCCCGCGGGTGCGCCCCCCGCCCCCCTCCGCGGGGAGGAAGAGGAAGGTGCGCGGGAGGCCGAGAAGAGGGAACCCTCATCGGACCCTCGAGCACTCGCGCGTGATTTTCAGCGTGTGCGTGTACCCCCTGAAACCTCCGGGCTAAAACCGCACCAACAAACCCGTCCCCGCAGCTTTATCCCCCCGCGGTGACACGCACCATTCCCGCCGTCGGGCGCGACCCGCGGCGTCGCCTCCGCGGAAACACGAACGGAGAAACGCCAGGAGGTCCCCGGGAAAGCTTCCCCACCCGTTTTAATTAGAAAAGCGAGCCATTTCGCTGCCCTCGGCACCTGTCCAGCCGTGCGCAGCGGCCGCGCAAGCGTGCGCGGGGCTCCGCCGGCCGCGGTGTGTCCGCAGCAGCGCGGTACGGGCGGTGGAAGGGATGCAGGGAAGGGAGGCAGGGACGGGAACGGGCGGAGCCGCGCCGGGGGTCCCGGGTACCGTCAGCGCGGACCCCCCTCCTCCGGCCGCGCTCCCTGCGCTCCTCCGCACAGCGTATCGCCCGCTGCCGGGGCTGGGGTCTGGGCACCCCCGGGATAGGGTCTGGCATCCCCGGGATAGGGTCTGGGCATCCCCGGGATGGGGTCTGGCATCCCCGGGATAGGGTCTGGGCATCCCCGGGATGGGGTCTGGGCACCTCCGGGATGGGGTCTGGGCACCCCCGGGATAGGGTCTGGGCACCCCCGGGATGGGGTCTGGGAATCCCCGGGATGGGGTGTGGGCATCCTCGGGATAGGATCTGGGTATCCCGGGATAGGGTCTGGGCACCCCCGGGATAGGGTCTGGCATCCCCGGGATGGGCATCGCCGGGATAGGGTCTGGGTATCCCCGGGATGGGGTCTGGGCATCCCCGGGATAGGGTCTGGCATCCCCGGGATGGAGTCTGGGCACCCCCGGGATAGGGTCTGGCATCCCCGGGATAGGGTCTGGGCACCTCCGGGATGGGGTCTGGGCACCCCCGGGATAGGGTCTGGGCACCCCCGGGATGGGGTCTGGGCACCCCCGGGATAGGGTCTGGGCACCCCCGGGATGGGGTCTGGGCACCCCCGGGATAGGGTCTGGGCACCCCCGGGATGGGGTCTGGGCACCCCCGGGATAGGGTGTGGGCATCCTCGGGATAGGATCTGGGTATCCCGAGATAGGGTCTGGGCACCCCCGGGATAGGGTCTGGCATCCCCGGGATGGGCATCGCCGGGATAGGGTCTGGGTATCCCCGGGACGGGGTCTGGGCACCCCCGGGATAGGGTCTGGGTATCCCGGGATGGGGTCTGGGCACCCCCGAAATAGGGTCTGGCACCCCCGGGATAGGGTCTGGGTATCCCGGGATGGGGTCTGGGCACCCCCGAAATAGGGTCTGGCACCCCCGGGATAGGGTCTGGGTATCCCGGGATGGGGTCTGGGCACCCCCGGGATGGGGTCTGGCATCCCCGGGATAGGGTCTGGCATCCCCGGGATGGGCATCGCCGGGATAGGGTCTGGGTATCCCCGGGACGGGGTCTGGGCACCCCCGGGATAGGGTCTGGCATCCCCGGGATGGGGTCTGGGCATCCCCTCTCCCGCGGGGGACGCGCACCGGCGTCTCCCGGCTCCACAACCCCCCCCGCGGCTCACGGCGAGCAGGGGAGCCCCCCCCAGCTCTCGGGGGGCGGCGGAAGGGTTTTCCGCGCTGCGGAAGAGTCCGCCCGTCCCGCTTCTCCCCCCATTCCCCCCCGCGCCCGTTCTGGCCCGTTCACCTCCCACCCCCGAGTGGGGTCTCGGGCAGGGCGGCCGCCCCCGCCGGTTTCCCCCCCGGTTTCCCCCCCCGGTTTCCCCGCCGCAAACCCGCCGTCTGGGCAAACATCCTGCGCGGGCAGGTGCTGCGCGGCCGCGCCGTGACAAAGAGCCCTCGGCGGGTGATGCATGGGGCGGCGGGGCAGCTGGCCGGTAATCCCCGCCGGCGGGGATGGAGACCCTCCCTTCCCCGGTGCCTCTTCCGCTGCACCTGCCCGTTGAGAGGTGTGTTATTGCGGTGGCGGTGATGAAGATGATGATGATGATGGTGATGATGGTGATGACGGTTTCCTCGAGGGCGCGGAGCGGTGCCGGGGGGAGGCGGTGCGGGCGGCTGGCGGGGCACGGCGCGGAGAGGGGCTGCTCGCAGGGCCCTTCTCCCCGGGATTACCGGCACCAAGCCCCCCCGCCGGGCGGCGGAGGCGGCGATTGGCTGGCGGGCGCGCGCGGGCGCCCACGCAGGCAGCGGCGGCGGCAGGTATAAAGGGGCGCCGGCGGGCCCTGCGTGGCACCGCGGATCGGCCGCCTCAGCGGAACCCTCCTCCGCACCGCGCCGCGCCTCCCCGCCGGTAAGCACCGCCGCGGACTCCCCGCGTCACCCCCCTTCCTCTCCCGGGGGTGCGGGGCTTTGCGCGGGGCCGCCCTGCTTCCATTCAGGAGTGCGCGCTCGTTCCGCGGCTGGGCGAGGAAGGTGGGAGAGAGTTGCTGCTCCTCCTCCTCCTCCTCTTCTTCCTCCTCCTTCTCTCTCTTCCCGGCGGGACGGCTCCCCCGGTGCGGGGCTGGGTGCTCCGCCGGCGCTGAGCACCCCTCGGGTGATGCGCGGCGCCCCGCGGAAGGCGCCTGGTCCTTCCGATGGGCCCCGTCGGGAAACGGGAGCTGGAGGACACGGAGCCGGTGTGGTAGTTCGTGGTGTGCTCCTGAGTCCAACATATTGATGCTATAAGAGAAAGAGGTGTCTCTCAAAGCAGGTATCTTCAGGGTGTGTATATATATATATATATCTATACATTTTTTACAGGTTTTGTTCTGATGGCTACTTTTAAACATATCCTTTTTTTCTGGTTTTCTACTTATTGAAATTTAACTCCTGAATTCGTATAGTGTAGTCTGAACTGGGGTACCAGTGTGCTACCTGCCACGAAGCAAGCAGCTTCAGGCAAAGTGCTGCCAGTGGCACTTCGTTCTTCCAAATATTAGTCAATAAACATGTTGGTTTTTCTTTTCCTGCGACTCTTACCCCACACCTGTCCGTGTTGGACACACGTTGTGTGCAGCAGCGAGGCAGAGGAACGTGTTTTCCACCAATTTGAGGGAAAGTCTGCATTAAGTTCAATGCAGAGAGCTGTACAGGGCTGCAGCTCTGAAAAGCTGCATTTTTATCCTCTGTAACAGTGCGGAGTTATTTTAAAATTTTGAAAAAATAGCAGCATAATAGCTATAACCAAAAGAAGTGGAAAGGCAATATATATTTTGGAAAAAAAAGAAAAGAAAAAGAAGCTGTTAGCGTTTGTGTTACTTGTGGCTAGGGAACGATGACCTCTTTAGAAGATCTTACAGGATTGAGAGGGTTGGAAAGCGGCCATTGCTTGATGTACCTCTTTGTTGTAGAGAGGAAATCATGGTTATGCTGAAGATTTCATCTTTCCTTGCTGTTTATGCCTTGGTTGTGTGCCAGATGGAGAGCTGCCAGGCAGCCCCAGTCAGGTAAGAAGCTTGTCCTGTTGCTGACTGCTCTGTCTGAATGGCATGAAAATACTTGGATGCTTTAGAGGTCCAGGGGGAAAACAGACCACGGTGAATGAGAAAGCTGGCTTTTTTTTTTTTTCTTTTGAAGCTCTCTTTGGCACTGTAATTTTTAATTGCATATATAAAACACCTAATGCTGGGCATGAGGAGGGCTTACACTGTCGTGATGTGCACTGATGAGTGACAAACCCCTCTGGCTGCAGCACACTGGGTTTTATTCACCCTGTTTTGCTTTGCCCCTGCCCAGACCTGGCCTGGAGTCCCTGGCAGAGCGAGTGACGCTCAGCGACTACGAAGCTCGGAGGTTATTAAACGCCCTGGTCAAAGAGTTCATACAGATGACAGCAGAAGAGCTGGAGCAAGCCTCTGAGGGGAACAGGTAAGGACTGCAGCTCTGGGGTGGGCAAAAGACAACGGGGGGGAACGTGTTTGATCCTTAACAACAGCCATCTGAGCAGACCCATCTGCAGTTCAAGGTTTATTTTTCTTTTCTTGGAGTTATGGCTAACGGTGGTCACCAAACTGGTGAAGGATGATACTGCAGAGGCACCCTGATGTTGGTATGGGGGGAATGGCTTCCACCTAGTTAACCTGCTTCTGTCTGTCTTCTGCAACTGAAAGTGGAAGGCGAGTTGAGCTTGAATCATAGAATCATAGAATCATTGAGGTTGGAAGAGACCCTTGGGATCATCGAGTCCAACCATCTACCCTACTCTACAAAGTCCTCCCCTACACCATGTCCCTCAGTACCCCATCTAAACATCCCTGGGGGGACGTTTATGAATGAGGGGGTTGTGTTAAAATATGGCAGCAAAAGGTACGTCTTCCTAGTGGGAGTGTGAGGGGCCGTTGAGTCACTCTTGGATTCTCTGTCGTGAAGGTGCATGCTGTCGTAAGGCATGGGGAGCCCCTGGCAGGGGGGACACCTTCCTCCTGATGCACGCAGACCCAAGACCCCCCACAGACCCAAGGCATGCGAGTGCATTTGCATTATCCTGGCAGGATTTGTATCCCAGAGCATGGTGGTGATGTACCAGAGACCGAACAGCATGCTGAACACGGGGGGAGTCACACTTCCCCACCACTGACTGCCAGCATCCAAAAGGCTAATGAATGAGCTTGCTTTTCAACAAAGTTGAATTAGTTGAAAAAACCAGTGTTTTCCTTCTCTGATGCATTTGTATGAACTTCCCTTGCATGGAATGTGATGCGGAGGGTTTGGTTTTTTTATTATAGTTTATAAAGTATATTTACGTAGGGAAGAAATGCATGAAGATGCATGTTGGAGATCTACTCTTCCTTTGGGCATGTTTGTTGTTGTGTTGTTTGTTTTTTTTTGTTTTTTTTTTTTCCCCCCTGCAGCCTGGATAGACCTATTTCCAAACGCTGTGCCAGTCTGAGTACTTGTGTGCTGGGCAAACTGTCTCAAGAATTGCACAAATTGCAAACTTACCCTCGCACTGACGTCGGGGCTGGAACTCCTGGCAAGAAAAGAAATGTGCTGAGTGACCCGGAACACGAACGCTATGCAAGCTATGGGGACCCTCTAGGAAACAACTAGACATTGCTTATTCCTCCCCTCCTACCCCTTTTTTTAACCTGATGCATGTGGATCTAACTTTGATTGCTAACTTTGCTGTGTTCTTTTGATTCTGTTTTCGACAGAGAATGTTTGAGATGGACCATAAAGTTAGGAAGACAGAGAACATAACATGCACACCAAGCTAGGGGGGGAAAATAAATAAATAAAAATAAACAGCACTGCCTTGACATTTCAAATGATTTTCTTAGACCCTGATTAAAAAAAAAATTCTAAACAAGGCTCTTCATTTCTGGCTGTTAAGTGTACAAGTAGACTCTTCTTTTGTGCTTGGCCATGCACTTGTTCAATAAACCTATTTTTCTATAAGGATTAGATCTGCTTGGTTTAATAACTTGTTTTAGGATGTGAGATTTCTAGAAAAGGCTAGAAAAATTTTAAAAGCTGTCTTAATATTCAAGAGAGGCAATGCCAGTAATTCTAGAGAAGTTTTAAGAGAACTTAGAAATTGGAATTGGACACATACGTACGTACTGATGTGATTGGGCAAGCATGTACTCCTGTTAGCAAGGGTCCTGAGGAGCAAAGGAATGAGGAAAGGCTCATACAAATTTGTTCAAACAAACTAGAAATGTAATCCTGTTTAAAACTGGGTACTGAATACTTCCAGGTAAGAATTTTGTGTTCTTTTCTTCTTCCTTTCTTACTTTACAATAGGTCTTTACAACAGTATATTTTAAAACTCTGGTATCTTTAAAATATTTGCATTAATTCAAGACAATATTTGCATTAATTCAAGACAGTATGTTGTAGGTGAATTGTAAATTAAGAGACAAAACCAGATTTCTTTAAAGTTCTTCTATTGCAGCACTGCATCTACCAGAGGCCTGTTCCAAAAAAATTGGCATTAATGTTATGAACAGTGTTCGTTGTTAACATTAATAAACTGTCTTGTAATGCATATCTGAGGAAAAAAATCCCTTCTACTGAAAGAATGTCATTGCTTTAATAGAATTGGCAGTAAGGTTATGAACAGTGTTCGTCGTTAACATTAATAAACTGTCTTGTAATGCATATCTGAGGGAAAAAAATCCCTTCTACTGAAAGAATGTCATTGCTTTAATAGGAAATTCTTCAAGGAAGGACTGTTTGAATGCTTATGCCTATAAGTATTCCATCTAGCAAAATTATTAGCTGTGGGCTGAACTCTGAGAACAGACCTAATCCTGTGAATTACTCCTGTAGTGAAGTGTTGTAGTAGACAGAGAGGCTGAACTCAAAACAGACCTAATCCTGTGAACTGCTCCTGTAGTGAAGTGTTGTAGTAGACAGAGGTCTGACTCCAGGAATGGGGGGGTTTCCACATTAATTAAATATGTGGAAGCAGTATGTTTGTGTGGTTCTGCTTGGAAAGCAGTTGTCATCAGTGATGCTGGGATTTCTTGTGTTTTCTGGGCATTCTGGAGCACGGATGTTGAAGTGAGAGGTTAAAGATCAGTGCCTGCTGCTGTCCTTCAGCAGCACTACAAAAAAAAAAAATATGCAGATCTCAGCTTTTGGAGGAAGTGGGGATTGGTTAAATAATCCAGACCTGGGCCTCCTCTGTAGCTCTCTGTTGGCCATAGGGACTTGCTGGAGGCAGGTGATGGCTCAGGTGTTGCTGAAAATCTGGTGTGGCTTAACCTTTGGTCCAACTGCCCAAGAGAGGAAGGGCTCAGCCACCTCTTTTAAACTGAGACTGACGCTTAGAAAAACATAAAGACACATCTTTTAGAGCTTAGAAGCTGCAAATCCCTGCTGCTCAGCAAGCCTACTCCTACAGAAAACTCTCCTAGGCCTAGCATCCCTTACTGAGGTCTCATGGTATGCAGTGTAGATGCTTCAGGAACTAACTCTTTTTTTTTTTCCTTTTGAAAAGCAGTGTCACAGCACAGAAGAGGGCGTGCAACACAGCCACCTGTGTGACCCACCGCCTGGCAGACTTCCTGAGCAGGTCAGGAGGAGTGGGCAAGAACAACTTTGTACCAACCAACGTGGGGTCCAAGGCCTTCGGCAGGCGAAGAAGAAGCATTCAAATATAAAAAAAAGCTGAATGATAATGTGAATATGGTAAATACGCCTCAATAAACCAAATCTGTAACGCAAGCGACCTGTGCCACTGTCAGAATTTTAGTTTTACTGGATGAATAACTACGTTAACCTGAGAAAGCAGAGCAAGTGACAGCATAAAAGATGATGTTACAAATATAATAGTAGCATGTTTAGACTGTAAAGAAGAGCTTTTGTAGATGTTCTACTTAGATAACTAGCTTTGCAGTGTATTAACTAAATGCAAGGGTTTGGTTAGAGTTATTTGTTTATTTTACCAGAAACATTTCTTTATTAACATACCAGTAACTCTGGATTTGTTTCTTTCAGGTTGCCGTGAAACTGAAAGTTCAACTATAATTTCTAACAAAAGCAACTCTTCTCCATAAATCAAGACAGCCAGAAAGAAGATTAATTTTGCATCCTAATACTGAAAATGTTTTATTTAATACAAATGAAAACACTTCTGTTATGTATAGTACAAGAGAATCTAGTTATTAAAGTTAAATTATTGTATATTCTTTTTATATGCAACTCTATTTCAAATAAAATGTGACAGCATCTATTATTTATTTATCTTCCAGCTTATATGTGATCCATGCTACTTATCCTGGCACTACTGCCACAACTCGGGGATTATACTAAGCTGCTGCCTGGCAAGGCATATGTGTATTATACGGTGTGCTGTGCCTTGATGTAAAACACTTAACTAACCTGATTGTACAGTATGTTTAAAAGAAAAACCAACAGACACTTAAATATTGTATCATTTGTGAATTTACGCAAAATTAAAAAAGTATTTTAGATACACTTGGATTGAGAAACTGATCTTTCATTTGAACACACTTGTGGAAACATTGGGTACTAACCCAACATCAGTGGAGATCAGATGGCCCATTGATCTGCTACAGCCTTATTAACTATAAATACTAGGATTTGAGTCAAAAGTTCAGAACGGAAAGAATAGCTGTCTTTTATGTATATAAAGCAGTAGCTCAAAAAGACACTACTTAATGAGACTTCTGCTAGAAAAGCAAAAAGAAGCCACAGCTACATTTAATAAAACCATAGAGACAAACTTCATCATGTGTGGGTTAAGACTAAATGTTCTTATACAGGATGTAGTTCAGATGAAATGGCCTAACAACCTTCGTAGATTTTTGTCTAAGGTTGAAAAAGTGAATTAGAAAGGAAGAGAAAAAGGAGCTACGGAAATGTACCTTTCTTTTAAGCAATCCTGAAACAGTCTATTTAGGGATCAGGGATAAATAATTAGAGTGAGTGGAGAAGAGGGTAGCTGGAAGCAATCCATGGACTTCTAAGTGGCGCTGCCAACTTCCTCTTCAAAGTTGCTGCTGCTTCAGTTTAGTAGCTGAGTCAGATATTTGTTTAGGTTTGTTCTGTGGCTCCACAGCTGGAGTCTAAAATCTGCTTGGTTAGTTCAGCTGAAGATCACCTCGCTGTGCAAAGTGGAGGTTAAGGCTCTCATGATATCTTTGTCTGTCTCTGCTGCAGGTGTTAGAGCCAAAAAGAGAAGCGTGGTCAACCAGCTGTAGACATAGCCAGTCAGGCTGTTCGGTGACGATGCCTCTGTACCATGCTCATTCGTGGCTATGGTTTTATTCCTTGGGGAACATTTCAGCCCTGGTAAGTCAGCGTACAAAGCTAGACCTTGTAGAAGATATAAAACAGTTTAGAGGCAAAAGTTCCAGTTCCCAAATGGGCAAAGAAGGGATGTTCAGACTTGGGTTGCAAACCTGTTGTCCGGGTCCAGAGAAGGGCGACAAAGCTGGTGAGGGGTCTGGAGCACAAGTCTTATGAGGAGAGGCTGAGGGAGCTGGGGTTATTCAGCCTGGAGAAGAGGAGGCTGAGGGGAGACCTTATTGCTCTCTCCAACTCCCTGAAAGGAGGGTGTAGAGAGGTGGGGGTCGGTCTCTTCTCCCAAGTCCCAGGCGACAGGATGAGAGGAAATGGCCTCAAGTTGCACCAGGGGAGGTTCAGGCTGGATATTAGGAAACATTTTTTCACTGAAAGGGTCATCAGCCATTGGAATGGGCTGCCCAGGGAGGTGGTTGAGGCCCCATCCCTGGAGGTGTTCAAAAGACGGGTTGATGTAGTGCTGGGAGGTCTGGTTTAGTGATGATGCTCCTTGTTTGTTGTGTGGGTGTCTATTTTTGTCAGTCAGGTTGACGGTTGGACAAGATGATCTTTAAGGTCCCTTCCAACCTAGAAGATTCTGTGATTCTGTGAAATAGTCAAGGGCTTTTTTCCATTTTCATCTGAAGAACCTGAGCTTGGCTGCAACTGGGTGTGATATACTCACATGGTGAACCACCCCCTCTGCTTGTATGAGGATCTGGTTGGGTTAGAGCCAGCGGCCAGTTTTGGAGCCCTGAAGCATTCTTTGTGAGGTTTGGGATATTTTTCCCTCTTTTCCTGTGCACAAGGTGGGGATTGTCTGCTGAGATTACCTGGTTACCTCAGCAACACCTTTCCCTGTTATTGCAGAGCCTCTGGGCACAGGTGGCAGGTGGTCTTTGCTCCCTGCCACAACACCCAACATCTTAATCTTCTCCAGGGTAAAATGCTGAGTCACAGTTACTGCGATGAACACATATAATTTAATAATTCATATTTATTAAGAAGCCAGGCAATGTTCATGGGCCCCTCCATCTTTAAATGAATGCTCAGGCAGTTTATTTTTTCCATTTACAGCCCTTGTCTGCTGAGAGACACACCTGAGGCTGCTCCAGGTAACTGTATGACAGGCGGAGTGCCCGTCTCTTCCAAAAACTATTATTCTTTCTTTTCAGTTTGACAAAGTTATGCATTTTTTTATGCCAGCCTGAGCAATTTCATCAGTCTAATTTTATGCCAAATGACAAACCTAACATGTAAAACAGATTCTAGTAATGTCAGTGCTGGATTTTACATTGTCCTGGTTGGAGGAAGGTTGGATGAAACTTTTGATGTGTGTTTTTTGGTTTGTTTGTTGGGCTTTTTTTAGGAAGATATAGTTACTTTCATATCCCCAGCTCGGTTCCTGTTGTATCTTCTATCTCTTTTCTCATTAAGATCTCTATCTGCACTGCAATGCGATACACTCACCAAATCACTGTGCCTGTAAAGGACATATTTAGAGGGCAATAGCACTATGAAAACAAAGGCGAATAGGAAAAAAGGTGAGGACCCCTTTTCCATTATGTGAAGAGACAGAAACCGTTCACCACAAAACCGAGTTGCTCAGAGCGTTAGGGGAAGCAGATTATTATTGATACAAGACAAAACTAGAAGTGTACACACTAATATTTTAATTAATTTTTAAAATTTTGAGGTGGTGAATATGGTAGAAGGAGTTGCAGAGCCCCTAGAAGCTTGTCAATTGCTTTGACTGACCTTCGTGAACAAGTGAAAAACATTGCTTCCATTTTTTTAAAAAGTGCTATTCTTGATAATATTATCCAAACTTGTCAGCTCTTCAGTAAACCCTAAATGTCTACCCTGGGAGAAAATCTGTTTTGGAATTAGTATTTAATAAGGGAAAGTATGTTTTCTAATGTGCTTACCTTTCCATTTTAATTACATTTTCATTCTAATCATGCTGAAAGCTATGTGTGAGTGGCATCAAACCCAAGGTGCTTGGTATTCAGTCAG